ACATAATTATTAACTTAAAAATAAAATATATAGGTACATTTATAGGGTGAACAATGGAAACAGAATTAATATTGCTGCCTTCAGATGTCACTCCCTATGAGAGCTATCCCATCCTCATAATACCACATATTTACATCTTTGCCCCAACGATCGTATGCGCAAAAAATCAGCTGACGACACATGACATTGACCCTTCTGTGGCATGCGTTAATATCTAGGGATACAGGTGTCCCCGATGGTATCCGTAGAATAGTACGTACTCCACTAATTACAACTCAATAAGGATGAACCTGACTGCGTAAATAGGACTTTAGGACTTTAGGTTCATAGTAAAGAGCTACTTCCATGGTCCTCCTGAAACGTTCGATTTTCTTCTTTGTAAATGAATAATGCAAGTAGAGACCAGTACCTGATTAAAGTTGGCTATCTGCCTCTACTATTTGTTTCTTAATTGAAAGATACTTCAAAAGGACCTATCCGGGAATTGAATCCGGGACTTTTGTTTCCGGACACGGACGTCAATGTCGACGGCATCGTCGTCGTCTCCATGTCGACACACCGTTTGTTTCCAGGCACGGCGTACGGTCGTGGTCTCCATGTCTCCCCCCTCGCCTCATGATGAACAAGCACCTTAAAAGAAGGAATCATACCTCTAGGCCAACAGACCATATGTGTTAAGCACGGGGCATATGACACACCCGCCTCGGGGATGTTGGTTATAATGCAGGAACTTGAATCTTCCAACGTGAGTTACATACTTCTATAGTATGTCTTAGACCATATCGTTGGGGTAAATTCCGGCCAGCGACAACTGTACCAGAAAGATTCGCGAAGGACAGTTCAAGCCACTGGCCCACAAATAAGCAACTTGAATAAGTACAATAAGCCAAAAAATAGGCTTAATATTTTCTGGAAAGATAGTATACCGTCCATTGGTAGAAATCCGGGAGTCTAATACAGTGTGGGACGCTCAAAACCGATCATTCCCACGGCCTATAATGACCCTTGCAATTTACCCAGTCAGACAATTTATAAAATCCTGAAAACTACTGAAATAGAGTCCTCTTTGTAAGGACGTTCAAGGTATCTGATCAGTATCTCCCCTAACTACCTCCTTCCTGGGGGGACCTCTCCAAATTTGGACTTTCGAGCGGAGCTTCTCCCTTAAGGACGCTAAGCGCTCGGGTAAGGTCGGCTAACGTCGGAGTTACTATGTGAACCCGCTGCAGATAAACCGGGAATAACCTCAGTAACTCATTCCTGTTATACTGCCGCTATAACTTTAACTGTCTGAGAGATTTCCTAAGATAATTTGAGTTAGTGATGAATATAATACTGTATTTCCCAAAAAGGAAAAAGTTATATATCAATTTAAAAAACGTTTCTAATGCAATTGGAGAGGTCGACTTTCCTCATGCAAATTTGGACTGCTTACGTAATCACCGATTTTTCGGTTTTTTGAAATTTTGAGGCTTTTAGTGTGTTCGTACGCTGGACTAAATTTGGGATCCAGAACAGCAGCGGCTCAGGTGCTAGAGAGTGGCCGCTTCTTAGTGTCCCACACTGCAGAACAAAGGGACAAATAGATGTAAGGGCAAGGTTGAAATGATATCCGATGCAAGTTCAATCTCCGAGTCTCCGACAATCATCACGGGCCAGGCGCTCGGGCACCGGCCATCACTGGCCATTGGTACCATGGGCCGTTGTCTAGCTCACATAAGAGTGCCACCGGCAGTTTTCTGGAGCGCAAAATATGGTATAAAAATATTCGTAATGGTTTTGTGTCCAGCGTAATGGAAATAATCATCCGGTGGTCGGCCTGGGATGGACTAGAGACGAAACAGATAACAGTCTTAGGTAGTATAGTGGTTAGTATTCGAGCCTGTCAAGAATTCAACTCCAGTACGCGCGAGACCGGGTTCAATTCCTTGTCAGAGAGTTTCTTTATGCTATTTTTGAGGTTATCTCTGATTTGTTTTGCTCCCTGAACGAAAGATATTAGTGCTGTGCACAGTACGCCGTGCACAGAAGATATCCGCCGCCACATCAGTAAAGTTGGTAAAAACCGGCGCCTAATGGCTCGGTTAGGAATTTTGGTTATTCCTATGGAACGACACATGGATATCCTATTTTTTTTTGAGAACCTAGTTTATATGATCTATAATCCTCTTATGACAAATAACTGGGGCCGTCTATACAGTCTCTGTTGAGATATTGCCCGTGCGAATTTTGCTATGGAAATGTACATAAACTATGATCAGCTGCACGCACACGACCCTCTCAGGCCTCATCATCTCGACCATTATACTTCAGCAATAGTCAAGATAAAGATAACGATCCCTCAGTTAGTAAGTACAGCTCTTTGTCTTCCGGTTCAGGACTAACTTCATGGAGACATTAGTGACCAGGCAATTAAAATTCGAAGACCTCGCAATTGAACTTATAGAAAATATTGTTTCCTATATCGAATTACCAGCCCACTTGCTATCTCTGGCCTTGACGACCCGTTCCTTTTATTCATTCATCATTTCATACCATATAGGATTTCGCCGAATACATACACGACCAGGCCAGCATGCTTTATGGGCCAGACTTGGAACTCGGCCACATCTCTCAGAACGTGTCGATAGTCTACAAATATTTCACGCAGCTGGTTATGAGAGGAAGTCAATATTTGTCCCCGTACAAGATGCCACGAACTCAAAGAGATAGAGGTGCAATATAGCTATACGTTACGTCGAGGTGGTGGAGATTTTAATGTTATTGCTCAACCAGTAAGTTTGAAGCAGCTTGTTCTCTTTGCCCTGGTGATTTACTTTGCCTTTTATGAAGCTATATCAACTCTCGAATCTCACTGCCGCTTCGTTTTCGTTCACCCACGAAAATCATAGAGCCAAATACATAACTAAAATTTTGGATATGCTAATTTTTCGTTGTCCACCCCTGCAAAAATTAGCTTTGAAATGGACTGGACAGGATGATATACGGATACCTCAGCATCTCTTGCAGGCAAAATGGGCGAAGCTCAGAAGCCTTAGCTTGGGCGGAGTTGTTGACCTCGACCAAGAGTCTACCATGAAACAGAGCCGAACGCTGGCCGACTCCAGCGGGTCCAACGCACGGACCCGACTGCGCCATCCACCAGATACAGGAAGGTCACCAGCGGACTCAGTCGAAGGCAGACAAGCATATTGACGCAATTACGGACGGGCCACGCACCCCTCAACCACCACTTACATCGGATAGGGGCCTGGGAAACCCCATCCTGCGTGTATTGCGGGACGAAGAGGGAGACGGTGTTCCACTACATCATGTCATGTGTGGCCTATCGAGACCAAAGGATCCAGCTAAGGAAGAAGATACCTGACGACCTATTCACTTTCACCAACATACTATCGCACAAGGATTGTATACCAGGATTGCTAGAATTTGTGGATCAGACGGGCCGACTGCAGAGTACATTTACGGAGAAGAGAAGAGGATAGGGAACAGTAGGGAGTCACGAAGTTAAGAACAGCGAAGAGTATCTCGGATCATTATCACACACAAGTAGCTGCCATTCTCCAGGAGACGCACAACACCCACAGGGGTCATTGATGGGGTAGCATAGGGGAAGGAAGGGAGAGGAGTTGGATTAGCTGTATGTAACGTCTTACATAGGGCTTAGCCCTAATAGACTGGAATGGATCAAAAAAATAAAAATGAAATGAAATGAAACAGAGCGGGCTGAAACCATGAATTCTTTTCTGACTAGGCACGCTACTGTGGAGTACTTAGAGTTTTGCAGGACTCGAATGGTACATCCTGATTGCATGGTGACTGCGTCGCTTCCCTATTTGCGATCCCTCTCCTTGCACAACCCTGGTCCAGTATACCTTTAGTCAGCCTCATCGCACTAGAGGTGGCTCGAAGGCTCGAATGTATCGAAACACTGGTATACGAGAATTGTATTCCTATCGTACGGGAAATGTGCCCTTACGATACTTTAGTGGGGCTATTCCTGAAGATTTATTAGAGGACTTTATTGACAGCATTCCAAACATCGAAAGATTACATTTAAGTCCGGATAGGCCATGCGGACAGCGATGTACGTATTATTTACGTTCTATGTTTTTTTTATTGTCTTGACCAGAATTTCAGGAGGCCGACCGTCTCGCGAGATACTCCACGGCAGTAAAGAAACTCAAGAATCTAACTCACCTTTTTGGGATGATGTGGACGAGTTTTCCTATGCCTTTACTTGAGACGGTAATCATAGATCTTGTGAAGAGTACCAAACTTACGTATATCCAGTTGGTAAACGATGGTGGTAGAGCACGTGTGGCGACGTTGATCAGAGATAATACAGGTCGATATCAGCGTTATCACTTTGATGACGAGGAAACTGTCTTACGTTCGTGGGAATGGGGTGAAATATTTAGAGGAATAATGCGTTCAGATATCGGGCATATGTATTAGATTTGTTGCTTAAGTATAGAGTATATAGTAGGCATAGTGTTGGCATAGCATCTTATTTATTTCAATCGAAGATCAAGCCAAGCTAGACGTATATATTTAGATATATCGATATGCGAGCAAGTACTGTGGTGACCGTATAACATCGGTATAACCCTATTGTTATTAGTATAAGTATTAGTCTACCCCATAATAAGGCTGTCCTCGCAGCCATGGGTCCACAGTGCCTATGGGTGTCTATGTAACTGATGTCGGGACCAATGAACGATCCCGATCCCCTGACCACGTCGAACATTAGGGGAGTTCAGAGTTGGCCGCTTCAAATCCCACTTCAAGTCGTGTTTCAAGCGGTCTTTTGGACCTTGAAGCAACACTTGAAGCAGCTTCTAGCTCTGACTACCCCCATCAGTCCCTTGATTTGGACACTATATTTCATGTACTTATCATCTTCCAAAAAAGAATCCAAGCGTCAGCATAACTTAACTTTAGCACTCCGCCTGAATATCAGTTATGCCTGGACAGACTGAACGTCAGGCTGCCTCAAGTTTGTTGACAATTCCTGGTGTTCTTTCTCCCAGGAGGAAGGCCTTCGCTCGCTTGCTTAGTCGCTTTGGCCTTTTTAGTCTTAGATGGGGCAGGACTTGGAGTTCTATCCCGTTTACGAGGCATACTTCGACTTATGAGAGATTATCAGTCGACTTTAAGGGACCATCGGTTGATTGGTCTATTTACTCAATTATTGCATACTACTTACTGAAATTCCATGGAATTCCACGGATTTTCCGCGTTGAAACTCCGACAGGATGAAGCGCAAGCTGAAACGGTGAAGCAGCTCCTGAGCTGCTTCAACCCCACTTGAAACACAACTTGAAGTGGGACTTGAGGCGGCCTGAAGCAGCCAAATCTGAACTCCCCTATTGTTGGCTGCCGTCGATACCATTGGTTTGAAATACGGTGTAGTTCCGGCGGATTTTCATCATTCCCAGTATTCGGAAGCTGAAGATATCCTATTCTGGGACGAACATGTCGCGGACGGAATGCAGGATTACAGATTTTTTGGGAGGAGCTGTAACGATCAAATTGATTTGAGTCAGTAGTTTCCATCGGTTTTTACCTAGCTTTCGTGAGTCTATACTTATTGAATATTTTCCCTGGGCTTTGAGAGAATTTTGCTGCCAATTTGCCAAACAGTGCCCATCTCTGATGAATATGCCGTCGATATCACAGTTCCCAGGAGACGTTGACTCGATTTACATATATGTATGTGAATAATGTACCACAGTAGGTCTCTCATTATTGAATTTAGATAACGCACGTCCATCACTACGTAACCATTGCCATGTCTTCAGACGGCACTTGGCAAACGCTGACAAGTCCTGAAGTTGACACATTTATATAGATTTACACGGCCTTGCGCCTTTTGTCAAGCTCTTAATATTCCCTCTCACATATAGTCCACTAATGAGCACCTTAAGTCAAGTCACTGCGCCTGCCACAACATTCTTCGCCAGTATGTATTCCATTGGATACTTATCACGTAGAAGTTGGTTTGATCATAGTTACAGGCATTGGAATCTCGACTTTGTAAGTTAAATTAACGATTAAATTGGACCTCTTATATCTTTTTAGTTTATGGGCTATCTCTGCGGCGCAGTTCGTTCGATATTTTCGCAATCAGTTTGAGGATTCCAGGGGATTAATCATATTTGTAAGCCATCTCTCGAATTTAGAATATTTTATACTAATAACAGCTGCATCTGAAGCTCGGATTTTGCATGTGAGATATTGGGTTAAAACTGTGCTCCAGCGGATCATTTATGGGCTCGCTGAAGGCTCCTAAGCACATTGCAATTCGTTAACCTGGCATATTTCTTTTATTTCCAAGTTATCACATCTAGATTACCTGTCAATTTTCTTCACATTGGTACAACTCGGAGGTGAGCGAATCTCAATTGAATTCATACTTGGTGCTGAGACTTCAACCACTGCTAGAATAGTCGTGAGTCACTAAATTATCCCTTTGAATTATGTGATGGGGGTTCACGTAAACTTTCATTAAACTTTTAGCCGGCGAATATCCTCCACGTAAGTCTTAGTCAATCGCAGATTACCAACTCCTTAATGCACATCACTGGCAGTATATCCTAACGGCGTTCGCCCAAGGGTATGTAGCATAGTATACCACCGGCAAGAAGGCCAGCACCGATATATTACTAATTCTGCTTCCATTGTTTCCCAGCTTCTACGCAGCGCGAATTTGGCACGGTAAAGAATTAAAAATTCATATCGAATAAATTATTGTCTGACCTGACCTCAGTCAGCAAGAGAAAAGGAGCTCTTTTCGCAACCATTGTAGGTATTCTTAAATGCGCTATTCTTGTTCTTTGATTGATCATAGTCAGGTTTTCTTGTCGCTTTCTCAGTTCGGTAAGGCTCTGTATCTTGCGGAATTTCATAATTATGTTAACGTTGTGTCAGCCGCAG